CTTGTGCTGTTGGCTGAATTAACCCTTCTGGGACTGACATGGATGCAAACCACTGGGGGTTTTCCTGCCTTGCCAGGGTCAAGGCCTGTCTGTGCTTTTCCTCCCTCCAGTCCCGTTATTTGAATCGGTTCTCGCTGGGATGGTGCCCTGGAGACGTGAGCAGGAACCTCCAGTGGGAAGGGAATGTCTGCAGAGCACCAGGACACAAGCCATGCTTGTCATTCCCAGTCTGAGTGGTAAGAAAATCCTGCTTTATCCCCACAGAGAGAGAAGGAGTAAGAAGGGAATTAGAATCCAAACTAAAATAAATAAAATGAGCATTCTTGGTCGCTGGCTGAATCCCATTTTTTCTCACACTTTGAAGTTCATACTCTGGCAAAGGAAAACCCTGCACATGAAATCTGGCCTCTGACTGAGGAAGGTCAGTGCTGGGAGAAGGTCTGGATGAAAGTACCTCAAAGGGCTGGAATATTTTCCTTTACCTGAAATGCTGTGTGTGGATGAAACCTGGCTCAGGAATTTCTTCCCCATTAGGTGGATATCTTTGTCTTCCTGCCACAGACTCTGGCAGAACAGAGCAGATCAAACCCTGTGCCTGTCTCCTTTTGTTGATGGCTATTTATTTTCCTTACCATTGCTCTTGTTTTGTTCTCTTGGCTCAGAAGTCTGGCTGCTGCTCCAAGCCACTTAATTCTCTGTAAGAGCTGTACGGGCCCAAGGCCTACATTATATTTATAAGCTGTAAGGATCTCCCCAGGCAGACTCAGAAATAAAGGATTCGAGTCAAACAGCTACAAGGAGATGCTCCAAAACAACCTCAGAGAGGAAACACAAAGAGATGGAACACCAGCCATTGCCCCATGCTGGATTTTAAAGGAACACCCCAGCTCCTGCAGCCATGGCAGGGGAGGTGAGTGCTCCCCATCCTTTAATCTCCCAGGTTTCCAGCACAAGGAGGAGATGTCCTGCTTTCCTCTGCTGTCTGAGATGTGTTTGAGGAGCTGTTCACTCGGGTTGGGTGAGGGAAGAGCAGCAGGACAGGCTGGGGCTGGGGATGGATGGCCATGGATGCAGCAGGGACAAACCTCAGCTGGACAGAGGGGGAGGAACCTGCCAGGATGCCAGGCAGGGATGGAGAAAAGGTGACAGCAGAACAAAACTCTCCATTCTCAACAGTTCTTATACAAAAATAACATTTCTTGCAGTCTATTACTTCACCTATACTTTGCTGTTGTTAGAAGTGACTGACAGGCCTCTTCCAGCTTTGAATTATTCATTAAAACCTTTTTTTTTTTTTTTTTTTGGTTGTTTTCCCTTCTTGCACAAAGCAGAAAGTCACAGGGGGGCTCTGTCAGTGGCTGTGTGCTTCCTGTCCCTCCCTGTGACGCTGCCACCCCACAGAGGACACCGTGCCGTGGCCGTGGCCCTGCTGGTCCCACACCTCCCGTGATCCCTGAGTGCTGCTGTGTGCCTCAACAAAGCAGGGCAGGAAATGTTTTTCCCAGCTAGAGAAACATTTTGTTCCCATTCTGTGCTTGAGCCAAATGGGGTTTTCTTGAGGGCTTTTTTTTCTAAACAAAGGAGTAAGCAAGCAAACACGTCTGTGAGGAGCTGATGGAAACGGCCAAAGCTCAGCCAGTGGACTTGTTGAGGGCTTTGGCAAGATGTGAAAATACAGTTTTCTGACCCAAATCAGGCTCATGACTCAAAACCAGGCCTTGCACACTCAGGACATCACCGAGCTGCAGGCAAGGCTGGGGTGGTGCTTTCTTTCCCTGGAAAAGTCCATCCCTAGCCGAAGCCAGCCAGAGCACACCCACAGAAGCTTTCTGTTTTGATAACATACCACTTTCCAGGGAAAAACATCTTTATCTGAAAGCTCTCCACCCTGTTTGCCCAGAGAGTGAGGATGTGAACTCGGGTTTCCATGCCCAGGGGACTGGAGGATGTGTGTGCAGGGGAGTCAGCCTGCCTGGCCCTGGGGACAGGCACACCCAGCCCTGCAGCTCTCCTGGGGATGAAGCAGCAATGCTGGCAGGGATGTGGGGCTGGGATGAGCTCAGGGAACTGATGGCTTTGCTTCTCTTCATGGCTCAGGGAGCACATCCCGTGGGTAGCCAGCACCTTGCCTGTCCTGCAGCTCAGAAATGTCTCTGGGGCAGCCTGGGCATAAATAAATGTCCAGCTGAGTTCAGGGGCAGGCGGGGTTTTATGGCAGAGAACTGCGAGACACCTTGGCAATGTCCCCTTTCCTCCACCAGCCCTTCCAGGGACTTGAATCTGCAGCTCAAGGGACACTGTCTGTCCAGGAAGGGGACAAGGATGTGGATGCAGCAGGCCTGTGGCAGCCTGGGGGTGTGCCAGCTCCCCAGCCTGTCACCACCAGGGCACAGGCACTGGAACTGAGATCACCAACCTGCAGAAATGACTTCCAACCCCTTGTTTTATCCTCCTCACTCCTCTTTCCGTAGGCAAAGCCCGGCTCTGGGAGGCCACACCAGCTCAGCCATGGCTGGGGGTTCCAGCTCTCTCCAGCTGCTTTGGAGCCCCTTTGGAGAACAATCCCACCCTGCAGAACAGACTCTGCCAGGATTCTCTGCGTGGATCTGACAGCAGAGCACCCACCCCAACACACAGGGCAGAATTACCCAGCTCAAATTGAGGATTAGGGGCTGAATTCGTGTCTTCCCTGACTGAGGGAGGCACAGAGTTTGTGAAGCAGGGCTGAGTCAGGAGAGCCTGACCCTGACCCAGGGCTGGACAACTCCTGCTTGGGTTAGAGACATTTTACCTTGAAGGCTAAAACCAGCAGAGGATGCAATTCCAGACCTGATCCACAGCCATTCCCTCTGTCCCCTTCCATGGATGAGCACCAACAGAGGAGCAAAATGAAGGGAAGAATTTCCAGCTCTGGAATTGCTCCCTGCCAGGATGGCACAGGTAATCCTCTGCCAGAAAGGGTGGGAGATATTGCAAAGGGTGGCATTTCCTGGGGTCAGTCAGGTCCCAGACTCCCCTGCCTCGGTCCATAGCCCATATCTTGGAATTCCAGCCAAATTCAAGTTACTGCTCCCCCCCAGTTATCTGGGACACAGCCCCAGGAACCTTCACTCCCTCTTGTTGGGGTTATTTTGATTTAGTTATGGTGGCAGTGCCACAGCTGCTGGGTGCCTTGCAAAGCTCCAAGGGCCTCATTAGGAAGGGAAATGACCTTTTCTACCCCTGCTCCTGCTCCCCTGAGCAGGCTGCTATTTGTTCATATTGGTAAAGAGCTCCTCAGCTGGAATATCTGTCATGGAAAAATGAGCTGGGATATTCTGGAGAGCTTCTAGCCCAGTGGGAATGGCTTTTCCCATCTTTGTGAGCAGAACAGGCTGCTGTGCCAGGGAAGTCAGCTTTCCTTTGGAAAAGCTCTAACAGGTTGCTCCAGGCACAGGAAGGTGCTCAGGAACAAATCGTGCCCTTCCTATAACCTTTGTTTTGCATATTATGAGGCAGAAAATAAAGAATTTAAAACTCAGGACTGCTTGACCAGGTTCTGAAACTGAATTCCTTGTGAAACCCCACACAAGAGGCATTTAATCTCAATTAAAAGATCAATTACATTTATCAACAGATAAAAGATTATCTGGGGCATTACACAAATACAACACAGTTTATTACCAGCTGGTAAGTAACCTCTAATGAATTTTTAAACACTTCCCCATAAATTACAAATAAACTACAGTCCTATAATTATGTTTGAGTTTGGATTCTCCAGTTAAACTCCTATGGGATCAGTCTTTACTATTATCCATAGTTATTTAGGATTCCTTTGGTGTAACCCATAGCTGGGGAAAGCTGTATGTTCTAAAAATTAATTTTAGGCATAGAAAATGCATTTGTCATCTCGACAATGATCTGGGCATTTATATGAAGATCATGTTGAGAAAAGCATTCATGATTTAACACCGTGCATGAGAAATGAGGCTTCTTGTTCATAAACCTGGGAATATCTGAGGCCTGTAGCACCAGAGTCCCCAGTGGCTCATGTCTTGGGGCTGGGATTATTGGATTTATTTGGATTATTGGGATTATTTGGATTATTTGGATTATTTTGGATTATTGGAAGCTGTGGATCTTCCACCACTCTCTCATTATGGGTGTTTTTACATTAAAAGCCACATATCTGATCTGTGCACTGCAATAGCACAGAAGAGCTTCCTCCTGGTCACCTCAGTGCTGGCTGCACTTCCAGAAGTGTCCCTTATGTGCTCTGGGACATCTCCTGTCACCGGGCTGTGACCTCCAGAGTGAGGCTGCGAGCCAGGACAGGGCTGGGAGAGCCAGGGGGGAGGGCAAAGGGGGCTGGAGTGCCCATCCCTGCTGAAATCGTGCCTGGCATGGCAAGGGCAAAGGCACAGGGCCAGGCTGGGTGTGTGGTGGGGTTCTCTGCAGCCCTGGAGATAATGCCCAGCTGAGAAACCCCTGAGGGATCTCAGGTAAATTATTGTTTCGATAAATTCTATTAACCCGTGTCATATAAATGCTATCACTGGAATTCCCGGAGAGCCCCGGTAGAAACAAGGCAGTTTCTGCGTGCCCCAAGAGCCAGGGAGGCACAGCAGGGAGGGTGAGCATCCCAGGGAGCAGCAGGAACAGAGCCCAGGCTGCCAAATCCCGGGGGAAAGGGGCACAGAGAGTGGCTCCTGCAGGACAGAGCTGCTCCTCAGCTGCTGTCCCCTCCCCGGGGTCCCTGCAGGAAGGTGTTGCCACCTGATGCCGGCCAGCAGCTGGAATTGCCTTCTCTGCCCCATCGCAGGCAGCAGCGAGAGGAAATCCAGGGGCTCAGTGAAATGACAGGGAGGGAGAAGGGAGAGAGAGAGAGAGAGAGAGAGTGAAGTCCCCTCGCCTCGGCTGCTGACGTCTCTCCTTCCTCCTTCTTTTGCTTTTTTTTTTTTTTTTCCTGTCCCTATAAAGAATCTCGGGCTCGCACCAAGTTCCCTGCGAGAGGCAGGGCAGGAGGGGAGGGGGACAGGCGAGAGCAGAGCCGGGGCTCCGGCCATGCCCCAGCCCCGCCCCGCCCAGGTGCCCCCGGGCAGGTAGAGCCAGGTGGGCTCCGGGCAGAGCCAGGTGGGCTCCGGGCAGAGCCAGGTGGGCTCCGGGCAGCTCCCCCCAGCCCGCTGGATTTGGTTTTCCTGCCCATCCCCTTCGGCACCTGCTCCTCCCTGGAGAAATCCATCCCTGGCTCGGCCGCTTTGTCCCAAACCCCGCGCTGCTGCCAGCAGCCGCTCGCCGAGGGGAGGAAACTTTGTGCCAAACTTTTTCTGGTGTTTTCGCTTTGCTTTTTCATCCCTTGAGGGACTCTGCGCCAGCCAGGAGGGCTGGGGAGGCTTCTGAGGCACAGCCAGGATCCCCCCAGACTCCCAATCCCCCCAGTCCCAGGGATTGGAGAAAAAAGGAATAAGGGGATTGCGGAAAGGGGGTGAAGGAAAGAAAAAGAAAAAGAAAAAAAAAAAGCCAAGAACCTCTGGAAGAAGGGGAAGCGAACAGAACCCGCAGCCCCAGGATGAAGCGGTGAATGGAAAGAACAATTTAACTGGAATCAACAAGTGGGAACTGCGCGCCTCGTCCTTCCCCCCCCTCCCCGCTCCGGCTTTCCCAAACTTCTCGCCGCGAAGGAAAACTTCTCCAGAGGGTTCGGAACACGCACCGGGACCGGCCCCGGGATGCTGCCCCGGCCCAGAGCCCTCCTGGCCGTCTGTGCCCTCCAGGGGCTGCTGCTGCTGCACGGTAAGAGCCGCCCGTGTCCCGCTGGCCCCGGGGCGAGCGCACCCCGGGTGTCCCCGGCCCTCGGGGAGCCCCAGCACAGCGCTCCCCCATGGGGTTTTTTTTACTCTTTTCCACTTTTTTTTTTTTGCTTTTTGGGAAGTGACACCCACCTGTCAGGTGTCACCGCTCTGTCGCCACACCTCCAAGGGGAAAAAAAACAAACCCTAATTCTCCTTGAAGGTGTCGCGCATAAAGGTCGGGTTTTAATGGGTGTTGCCCGTCGAGGTTTGGCCGCTTGATTAAAAATAGCGACTTGTGAGTGTTCACCAATTTGTGGCTTTTTTCCCTCAGTGTGGGAGGGTTTCTGGTTGTATTTGATTCGATTTGAGGCAGAGCTGAGGTTTTAAAAGGAGGAGCTGTCAGGGAGTCTGGGCTATCCCGCTGTCCTGGGGATCATGCTGGAGCTGTGGGCACAGACATCACGGGAATTCTCTTTGCTATTCCAATTCTGATTCTTTGATATTTCAATTTTTCTTCACCTGGCGCTTCTTCTCTGCCTTCCCCTTCCCAGCCCAGGTGCCAGGTTAGATCCCCTGCTCTCCAAAACTCATTTTCCTTTGCAGCAAACTCCCCGTCCCCTCGGATTTATTCCCAATTTTTGCTGCTATCAGAAAAGCCAAGAGGCAGGTTAATGAGATTTGGGAGAGCTTTTCCATCTGCCATATGACTTTTCATTATCTCATTAAGCATGAGGATTTTGCTGGATTACTGAGCTATTCATTCATGACGCTGCAAATTGTGTAAGGGAGATGGGCTCTTGTTTATTGGGGAATTCCTTCTGACAGAAAGGACCTTTTTCATTTTTTTTTTGGGGTAGTGGATGGATTGCACAGCACGAGGCTGTTGTTCTTCAGCATATGATAATCTTTTCATAGTTAAGCTTCTGGAAACTCTGTGGAACATCACTGCCCTTGATTTCTCTTGGATTCATTCAGGGATTTAATGTATTCCTTCTGCAGAAAGGGACGGACTGGCAGGCACAAGCCCCAGGGAATTTCACATCTTCCCCACAGTCACCTGCAGAATAAACAGCAAAGCCTGAGGTTGTGCTCCAAAGGGCTTGTCCAGCTTTTCCAGGAAAAGCTGAAGCAGCAAACCTGGCAGGTGGCAAGGAGCCCCTGCAGCAGGAATCCTCAGGAATCCCCTGGGAATGTGTCCTGTGCCAGGCCCACACCTTGGGCAGCACCTGGAGCAGCCCTGGCAGGATTCCCGAGATGAGCTCCAGCCGGCTGACACGTGCAGCAGCCGCCAGCTGCCTGCTCTGGGAGCTCCAACCTCTGAAAAGTCTGGAAAAGTTGCCTGAAATCCAGCGTGGATTTCACAGAGGCATAAATCACCGCAGACTTTCATGGATTAGAGGGATAATTACAAGGGATTGGGAGGTGGGGGTGAAACGTGGCGTGCCCAAGTGTTCCTGAGGCTCCGGGGGGAAAAGCCTGGCTGGAGATGCTGCCCACATTTCAGGGCTGCTTGGGTCCTTACACACCAGCTTCCTTTCCTAATCCTGTCGGCCCTGATAACCTTGGAATTTGGTCCAGATTCCTTTTGCCATCAGTGCCAGGCACAGAGGAGACCAAGAGAAGGCAAATTCTGCATCCTGTGACAGAGCGAGGGAGGCAGGAGCACCTGGCGAGGGGCTGGGAGCAGCACCGTGGATGTCAGGAGCTTGGTTCATCTTTAGGCAGAGATAAAACATCAGCACAGCCTCTGGGTGCCCTCATTGGGCTGGAAGGCAGAGGGAGGTCAGGATTTGGGATAGGAATGGTGTTACTGAGGAATTAACTCCTCACCAGCTCCAAGCTCCTCTCCAGCACCGAGCTCAGTGAAGCTCTGCTCACGCTCCCAAAGCCCGGATTTATCCCTCAGCTGTTGTTAAACCTTCCCTGGGATCTCTGTGGCCAAAGTTAGGCAGGGCTGTGCCGAGGAGGCTGACTCTGATTCCAATCCAAACAATTCCATCTGCAATGCAGAGAGAAGGAAAGGGTACAACCATGGGAGCTGCTCAGTACCGAGGTATTGACTCCACTTTTCCCTCCAAGTTCATCTCCAGCAATGGAACTGATGAAATTCTGGCCATTGCATTTATCCAGGTCTCCTTTGGAGAATTCCTGACTTATTTGGCGCTTTCAGCAGGGGGAAAGAGACCACACAAACATCATCCCAGTGATTTCCCACCTTCCTCTAAAATACAGCTCTAAATACATCTTTAAATTTCCTCATTTAGTTCCAGGAGTACCATTAACTTTCCACTTTCCTTTTGCTCAGTGCTCAGCTTCTTCTCAGCTCCTCAGAGCACTGGTTGGGGTCTTGCTGCTAGGAAATACTGATGTGGTAATGATGGTGCAGATGCCAACAGCTGGCACAGGTTTTAGGCATGGTTTTATGATTTTGCAGGTTTTATGATTCATAATCAGCCCTTGGAAAAACAATCTGCAGAGAAATTCTTACACATTAAATTGTGCATGAAAAATTCAGTATCTTTTACCTGCTGACACGATCACCGGGAGGTTTTTAATATCTGAGCAATCCAAATCACTTTTTTGGGTATTGGAATAAACTCAGCTATTTCAGTGGTGTAACACTGGAAATTATTAAAGATTGAAGAATAAAAATTAGGTCCTGCCAGATGGCTTTGAAATTAAAGCAGGTTTGAAATTGATTTTTTTTTGTTGTCGTTGTTTAATTTTGCAATGTCTTCTACAAATTGAATATACTGGATGGGCAACGAAGCTGGTTAACACCGAGATTTCAATTAAACCATGAAGTAGATAAAAGCTTCAGGAGCTCGGATTTCTCCTGGTTTTCCAACCAGGATGATCACAGAGTCCAGCAGGATGAGCGTGGCTGTGCCAAGGCAGAGGCACTGAGGGGTTGTTTTCCCAAAAAATCGTGTGTCCTAATTGGTGTTATTCCCAAACATTTGCATTACTGTGGGAAAATGGTATAAAAAGCAGAAGGCTTTTTTAGGCTGGTGATATATGAGCCTCCTGCTGAAGCTGCCACATTCGAAACCAACTGGAAATCTCTTTATATCCATTCAGCCATTTAAGGCAAGGAAAAAAATGTCAAGTATTTCTGAAAACTCCCTGAACTTCTAAAAAACAGCATCATACCCAAAAGAACACTGAGAAAACAAACCAGATGGTTTGCTGAAGGTTTCTGCTGTAAGAACTTGCAATATTTTCTTTAAAGCTTGTACAAAATATTTATCTGTGAGCATTGGGCTGTTCTGAGTAAGAGCAGCAGGGTCCATTTGGGTCATTCTTGGCCTTTCCCACATTCCCTGGATTGTTCATTTTGTGACAAATTATTTGTACAAAGTGATAATCTACTGCACTTCGAGTGAATATCTCAGACTGGACTGAGTACAGAATATTTATGTTGGCAATAAGTTTATGCACACCAGCAAAAGGTGTCTGAGCCCAACCTGATTCCTCAGGTACGACCAGGGCATCTGAGCTTTTTGGAGATTTGTCTCCCAGGTGCCCAGTGCAGTTTGGAGGAGGTGAAAAACCTCCTCTGTCCCATATCTCCTGAGGGATGGGACACACCTGGTCCTTCCAGAGTGCAAGGTGTGGTGCAGGAAAGGTCACCAGGAAAAGAGCAGGGAGCACTAAGAAGCTGCTCTCAGTTACTGCAGCAGAGTTTGGGGGGCAGCAGCAGCCACCTGCATTTTTTTAAAGCTACACAGGAGATTTTCAGGAGGCAGCATTGGACTTTCAAAGTGAGCACGAGGAGGACTCTAAAGCACAGCCCCACTGAGCTTCACATGCTCACTTTGCTATTTCCTCTGATCCACCTTTCTTTTTCCCTCTGAACCAGCCTGATGTCACTGCAATGGGAATTAGGAGTGGAAGTAATTAAGGGATATTGGATTATCTAAACAACAGCCAGGAAAATGTGTCCCCAGCACTTTCCTTCAGAAAGCAGCTCTGGTGACTGACAGGACATGAAGGCTCTGAGTGCCCATCAGGACATTTCCACCCCTCCTTCATCCACCTGTCCTCAGTCACAGCCCCCAGGACAAGTGGCTGCCCAAAAAAAGCTGGATAAAATGTGTGTAACGGAGAACTGAGCTCCCCGTTAGGCACTGCTTTAATTTTTCTTTTTAAGGCCACGGAGAAAAGGGTAGAAGCTGCCAAAATCCACCAGTCCAGGTTTTTTATCTGGAAATGGTGTTTAGCAGAAGGCCTTGCCCCAGGGAGCAGAACTCCAGGAGCAGAGCTTGCAATCATCAGGAGCAAGGCAGGATCAGCACAAATCATGGGAGTGAAGGTTTCTGCACCAGCTGTGACATCAGAGGCTCATGCAGGAGCTGCTTCCTCCAGTGGGGAAGGCTCAGGCTCAGGCTCAGGCTCAGGCTCAGGCTCAGGCTCAGGCTCAGGCTCAGGCTCAGCCTGATCTCCTGAGGCTGTGATGAGCAAAACCTACGGGTGCCCATATTGTGTAAATTCCTCCCTGCTGGGTGCTGGACACATTTCCCAAGGCTGGGGGAATGGGAGCAGGGAATTCACACATGGAGGGAGCTCAGCTGCTGCCCTGAGCCAGTGTTGACTTCTCTTCCAGTCTCTTACTAACAGTGGAACTCAGCTTTGCACTCTGATGGACAGGGAGCAATCTGGGAACTGTTTTATGGACATCTCCATGAGTCACTCCAATACCCTCATCCCCAAGTCCTTGGATTAGTCTGACTTTGCAGCACATACTTTTTGTCCCCACTACATCCTACACTGCTCTCCTGCTCTCCCCCCTTTCCTGGATGTCTCCTAAATTCTCCTTTAGGGCTCAGGATCCCTTGAATTTTTCCATTAGGAGAAGCCAAGAGGAATTTCTCAGCCCTTCCACACCAGGGGTCTGCACAGTCTCTCTTCTCTGTCCCAAAATTAATTTTGCCTTTATAATTCTTTCTGGTGCAGAGATTTCTTAAAAAAAAAAACAAACCACCAAAGTGGGACTGCTTG